CCGTGTGAGTACCTACAGAGCTGGACACATCAGATCATCAAAAGTACAAACAGCAAAAGAGATGGTGACTCACAAATGGTGGCTTCACGAGGAGCCTCTCTCATAGAAGGAAGACCAGACTCGGCCAGAAAGATCTGGCTATGTTCAGTCATGACCTATATCGATGCAGATTTACATGTGAGCGCCAAGTTAGGAAAAACTAGAGCAAAAGGGCTTACACTGAGCAAACTGATAGAAGCACCAAACGTTTCACGACATTGTCTGACAATCTTCCTGAAGACAGGATGATGTTCGAGTGTCTCCGGTGGGATTTTACTTGCTCTCAATGTATTCATCATTGCGCGAGTGGCTTCCTGACTCATATCCGAAGACGTTGTAGAACTTCGCTCCCATGCCTCTGAAAGAGTTTCGGGTACTTGACCTGATGCTTCAAGTGCTTCTGCTGCCATGTCTCGTTGGTGAGACCGTGCGGCTGCCTCATCCGATGAATCGAACCCCTTCCCAAACATGCCGAGACGATTGAGGACTAGCTGTCGGATTGGCTCGTCGTCAGCGAGAGGTGGGGCATAGCACTTGATTTCCCAGGGTGTTGGTGCATCTTTGTTTGGTTCGGTTGGGGGTGGCGGTGGGTCATTAATATCGATTTGTTCCTGTAAGACAAATAGGAATTAGACATGCGTCAGCCGCTGAACGTATAGTGGGGTGTGTAATAGCTATGTATACGGCGGAAAGGAAGCTGAACGAGACTCACCTTAGCATAGAGCTTGTGGTACTCTTCCCAAGTCTTAGGTATTTGGTCTGGAGGACTACGACTGTTGATGCGGCGTTTGACTTTCGCAGTAAGCTTCTTGATCCGAGTATTGGCACCCCTCGATTTGATACGCCAACTGGTAAATATTGAGCTACCCTTCTCGTCTGCACTATGATGGTCATTTGTTTGATGATGTGAGACCACTTCGGTAGCGATCACTGTGCTGGATTTCTTGCTGCCTGCTTTTGGTATGAATGCTCGAAACGCGATCTCGCGAATCCTAGCAAAGCTTTTCTTCTTGGAAGGAAGCACACGTGGCGGTGGAAGTCTCGACTCTTCATCTTCGCTTTCACTCAATCCTGGAGAATCGTCCTCGAGCCATTGATTTGGTGAAGCCGAGGTATTGTTTTCGCCTTCGAGTGGGGCAGGAGGAGCTGGCTGGGGTGGAGCGACAACTTTCTCCCAGAAGTAACGAGACGGTCTTCGCTTTGTAGCATGTTTGTCAGGAACAACAAATAAAGCAGGATATGGGAGCCCAAGGCCGAATGGAGTTGCGATAATGTAGGACGGCATCCTAGCAAGTAACAGATAGGTTGCTGAGAATGAATGCGCGCGATTGGTGTTTAAGATTATTAAAGATTAGTAGTGAAGGGACGAAGGACAGGGACACACAACGATCTTAGCTCTTCAGAAGACTTTGTTTTAAATAGATCAAGCTTCTTGGAAGTTGACTTTTCAATCGAAATGAAGGAAATCTGAAATAAGTACATATGATCCAAGAAAGAAAGAGGCGCCAAACTGTAGAAGCCCCACTAGAAGCGGTCGATCTGGCGAGGTGCTGTGTACAGAATCAGATGACTGTCAAGCTCTGTCAACCCAATTGGAATTTGGCGAAGTGACAAGCAATTGGGTTTACTTACTTATGTAAATTGTAAAATCAATGTTTGGTCTCTACCAATTAAAAATCGGTGAAGATTTGATTTAAGCGCACGGTTTCTTTGTCGATTCTCAATGGAATATGTACATACAGTCATTTAAGAAAAGCTTGCCCCAAATTCCCCGCCAATTCGCTCGAGTTTTGCGGGCAATTTAGGGCAAGCTTTTCTTAAATGACTGTACTTCCGTCGTGCCACCTGCATTCTGCAGCAAGTTTGCAGAGCAAGTCCACACAGCAAAACCTCGAAAGAATTCAGTAGACAACAATCAATTCTTTCAAAATTACAACCCTACGGCCCAAGATCGAATGTTGAAGGGCAGCTGCACCGAGCTGCGCCCGTAGAATAGACGTGAGAGTTGACTTGACTCTTTGATTGATCATAGATATCATTCAGCCTACGCCCGGGGGTAAAAGTCACCGCGCGGGACCCGAAACCGATGTGTCTCAGAAACGTCTCATGATTTCAGTTGATCAGACGTTTTTGAAAGGTTTTCAGAAGGTATTATTCAAATACGTGCCCTTCTACAACAGCTCT